TTCATTGTTCCATAGTCGGTATTTGAAAATGCAAGCTACAGTACATGAACTGGTAAATTTTGAATTTAGTAACATACGCAGATCTATGTGTTCATACGGTGGGTTTTCAATGTGAAACGGCCATTCCATGAAAAGCGGGTTATAGTCCGCAAGTAAACAAATGCTTGTGTCCTAAATGGGATAACTAAGGTCAAACATTCATATTTCCTCATGTTCTACCGAATGAGGGCAGTGGATATGATAACTCTCCTGGACATTTATAGCACAATTATCTGGTCATAATCTCTTCAGCGCATATGTTTGCAATTCCTATGGTACTTACTGCAATCGCAATAGTTCAAGACAATAAGGCTATTACAACGACAACTGACAGGGATGATTACCAACGTAACTGCAGCTCTGTTACTGCAGTTGCTATTGTTAAGTCCGGTGAATCCTGGTCAGTTAGGTCTATTTACTCTTCGAGTATCGTGTATTAAAAGCAGTTCATTTGAGTGCTTTGATTTAAAAAAAACAGCTTTTGTTATTTTTAATTCTGTTTATGTAATTATTATATCCTGACATTATATCCAGAATTTGTTAACCATGTTATATACTATGTTTAATCCAAAATTACTTTTTAAGTCTACATCACGTAATCCCGCCATCACGTTAGTGTAAAGTCTTTAACAAATTGATTTAAAAAAAAAGAAAAAAGAAGAAAAAAAAGAATCAAACATGAGTTATAATCAGTTGTTGTCTTTGACGTTGTGTCGGCATTGACTTTGTTGTTTATTGAATACAAATGTTTTTACTCAACATCATAGAATTCCATATATTATTTTGTTATGTTCCGTGGAAATAACTTTCATATTAAAGTATTCTCTTATTTTATTCAATGATATTATTAGTTCAGCGCAAAGATAGATAGATTCTTTTATTCCTCCAAATTTGAAGAGTACAACATATATACATGCATAAAGACATTGACATAATATACAAATATTTATGTACATAAATTACGTTCAAGTTTCCTAATAATGGTAAAAAAATATATGCATAAGCCATCAAGTGTTTTAATTACATAAAGCATCTCTCCACAAAAGGACGCATATAACTCGTTGTTAAAGATTAAGAATAGAATAATAAATTGTGTTCAACAAATGTATTTAACAATACATTTTAAATGGTTATAGAACTTTGGGTTAGTTATTTAGCAGTCATTTATTATCAAAATTAAAAACATTATGCTTTAAGTTATTTTAGAATTAGAGAGACATTTTTGGAAAATTGCTGTATCTTTCTTAGTATACCAATACGTAGTAAAAATGTACCATATAACGATATTAACATTGTCATATTGGGAGTCATTATGACTTCAATCAAGATAATTGAACAATATAAATTACTGCAAGTATAGAAATATTACTAATACTGCCTATGCTGGTCGAATCGAAAAAAGTATAGGCTTCTGAAATGACATAAGGTATTTGACACTTTGATACAAATGCTTATACAATATTTTTTGTCTTAAATCTTGTACAAGTAACCTTAGCATACGAGTGTTAAATGCAAACAAATAAGTTCATAAATATACATTACACAATTCCAAATTATTGCATAGAAAATCAAGTAAATGTATTTTTAAACATGTTATGGAGCATTTTCAAGAATGTGTACTGACGGCAAGTCGCTTGATAAAACGCCAACGCTATAAGCTGATCTGTCTGTCTTTCTCGAGCACACATTATCCATTCTACATACGCATTAATCCCCATGGTTTCAAACATGTAGGACCAAAGTAATTGTCGAATATCTGTCCTTTTACTACAAACGTTTAGAACATGATCCACGATATTGAAGCACATGGCGTTGCACAGAGAACAATTCTGAATGTATTGTCTAGAGAACAAGTTCCCGACGACCGATACAAGGGACATAATCCATAGCCGCACATCTTCAAATAAAAAAAATTCTACAAAAAATATCATGAATATTAAGAGACGAATACATAGCTTTTCCTTACGAAGGGAAGTCTATGAACAGTATTTTCTCTATGTATTATAAGCTCTAAATTTAGGTATCAGGATATACATGTGTGTTTGATTCGTCATAGCCGTTTAAACAAAATTGGCAAATAAAGATATAATATGTTATTATATATATATAAAAAGTAAGGTTATAACCTCCAACATTTTCGTTTTATTTGTTTTTCTTTTTTCTATCTAATATAATCGTTACAATCCTTTATTGTGAATCTTTAAGCTGTCACATTTTTAAATCTAATTATTATTTTTTACAGTTGTTTTTCATGCATACTCCCTTTCTATAGATAAAGATATGTTGGGTCAAAGAAAGCCTCATCCGTACATTACTAAATTATTTTGTTCTCTTTTTACTACTTTACTCGTTTTATTTTTTGTTGTAAATCTTTAAACAGTCAAACTTTGCAATTGTATTAAGATACCTAAAATTATTATTTCCCTTGCATTAAGACAAACAGGTCAGGGTACAATGATTTGGAAAATATTATGCATTATCGTATAAAGATTAATACTTTACATAACATTATACACTCAAAAATTTTAGATCATTTTGTACATCAATTAATTTTGACGAATAAGTAGCATTCAACAGACAGTTTTATTACTTCAATTGTACTCCTTTTTTCATTGACAACCTCTTCTTGACTTCTCCCTACATGCAATCTCTTTTCTTTTTTTGCTTACATGAAACGTGACGAAAATGATGAATTTATAAACCAAATAAACAAACAGGAACAAAATATGTGTAACCATATACTTGAACCATTTTATAAACGTGCACACCAATTGAAATAAATCCAGATGTTAATACTATAAGTTAAGCTTTGTTCTTAAGATTTCAGCAAATAAATTTGTTACATATACCAGGGTTGTACGTTTTATTACATGTATATGTATTTTATCACAGTGTGATAACGCTTTGATTATGATACGCCTGAATAGCTCTATTGTACGGTGTTAAAATAGTTTTAAATCATCTACAATTTTCATAACGTCAGTCTTGACGCCTGTTGAAAAAATGGGTGAAAAATTGACAAAAGGAGATTGATATATAAAAGTCCACACAAATCCATGTCATTTGGGTAAAGCAGATGGTAGAGTTTAAATTCCGGTGCCGAACGGCGAAGGGATATTACAGTTCGGTACTACTGGGACGTTGTACGTATAAAGCTCAATAAATATTATCAAAAAATGACACCCTGTGCTAGGCTTTAGGCATGTTAGTCTGCTTCAACATAATGCTCCACCACATACATAAGAGTTTGTACATCTATATTTGAAGATGGAAATGGGTAATGTTTGCCACACACACATACAAGTTTCGACAGACCATTGGCTAAGCCATCAGTCAGTGCCTCGGAGGTCGTCTAAACAAAATGGATTAATGTATTTCAGACCATGGAGACTATTTTGAAGGGATAAACTGTTCATTTGACTATTTGTTTGGACTGCTTTTGAGATATCGTATAAAGCATATTACACAATCAAACAACCCTTATTGACGCATAATTTACTTTGAACTTGTGCAAAACGTATCTATAGATCGATTCATTTTCATTTATCTGTATACTTTATCAGAAAAATCACTGATAAAAGGTATTGGCAGTAAAATTGAATACAAACAATTCAATATAACATTAAGACATCAGTTGCAAACACATTTAAAATTCATCTGAAATAAGATATGGCATAAAATCGCATGTTCTAAAGTCAATTCGGACAACAAAATAATCTATTCGGTACAGTTTTTTGTTTGTTCTGTTTTCTTTTTTTGCCGTGTCACATGTTTATACGCGTGATTGGACGCTTTGAGGCCTTGTGACAACATGATATTTTCATAAGGTTACTAATGTTTAAATTCGACCAGCAATTTATGTTGCTCTTTGTACGGTCCATGTTTTGAAGAGCGGTATTTTAAGGGGAGATAAGTATCTTTTGTTGCAGAAATATGAGTCCTTTGACTTGTGAATTAAATCTCTATTTAAAAGAGTTTTATTCTTCTACGTAGGTCCGCGAAGCCGAGGTGGCTTTGTATGAATATTCTGATGCCAAAAATGCTTGTTTCTTCATATTAAAAGCTATAACGAATATCACCATAATGTAATGTTCACTACACATACGCCACTTAATTGAATTGTACACCATAATTGTATTTAAGGTAGAACGCGACACTTTGCGAACTTTCATGGTCAAAAAACTGGCTTTGATGGTCAACTTTGACGTCGTGTGTATAAAAAATGGCTGAAACTATTCAACGGAACCTAATCAGAAATATGGTCAACCTTCTGCATGCCAATTTTCAAGACGCTTCTCGAAAGTTCGCACAGTATCGCGTTCTACCTTAATTTTTACTTCTTTGAAACTGGAACAGACCATTCAAAACTTTAAAGGATTTCAATACCACAACGTAAAATTGAGCCAACAACATGGTTCGAAATAATTCTATTCTAGCCTTTGAAAGAAAAGAAACTGGATCGATGCCTATATGTTCTTTGGACAAGATATATTATGCAAGTGTTATTGTCTTTCATTAAAGATACTAAAGCAAATATTGTATTGTTATTTCATTCATAAAATCTGCGATAAACTATATGTTGTGCATAAATAATGAAAGGCTTTCATAGAGTAGAAGTTTATACTGACGTATACTGTCTGAGAATTCTTCAAACTTGCACAAGCGATACATTAATTGCGTTTTGAAGCCGTAATTGGTAATTTTGCAGAACGCATTAATTATACTTTTTTAAGTATACATTACAAAATAAAACCTCCATATACAAAACGAGATATGGTTGTATAAAGTAAGTTTGCCCATTACATCACACAAAGAGACCAAACTAAGATGTTTTGTAAGAGATGCTTTTGTTAATGCTGTCTTCAAAAAGATTGTATTGTGTTATATATATTCTATTCATATTCTGTCAGGTATTTGGATTTATAAAAAGAAGCTTTATTGATGGTATCGGACCTTCACTCATCTTTATGCAAAGCACGCAACATAAAAGTCCCTAAAGTGGACTTGACATCGTGATTGGTGGAGGATACTTATTAAACGTCCTGTTTAAAAGTATAAAGCGTTCATATTATGCTATTTACTAAAATAATCCAGTTATAGCTATCACAGTAGCAACAATGTTTGGATATTCTTCAGTGTCAGCAGTTGTTTTTGTCACCGCATTGTTCTGCTCACAAGCGATTGAAGACCAACCAACGTTTTCAAAATTTAAGTATGACAAACAAATGTTAGAGACAATGGTTAGAATGGAAGCAAAAATTAGTCAGTGGGATAAAGAAAGAAAAACTTTTGAGGAGAATGTGCTTGCTATATTGGAACATCGTAGAGAGGAAATGCAAGAGAAATTTTTGAAACAAGATGAAAAACTGGAAAACATGTCTGAAGACTACAAAGACATCCGTGCTGACCTTAAAAACATGACATTGCAAATGGAAAACATACCTGGTAAGCTTGTAAATTAAATGTTTAGCCAAAATAATTACTATTTTCTGTTTGCATATTTTCTGCTATTTCTTGGGTATGAAATTGTTACAGTTTTTGAAGCAACATGAACTTATAAGTTTTATTTCTTGCGGTTCTCCAGGAAAAAATGACGTCATGATTTTGTTTATTTTAACTGTGTTTTTTAATCGTTGAATCATTGTTTAAAAGCGAATACCAATCTAGTGAATCTTTATCGTAGCATTTAATCCATCATTAATTTTATTTAAAGTTATATCAAACTTAAAAAATATATTACTTACACTTAAGGAATGTAAAAACATTAAAGATTCAAGTAATAATTGACATGTTCTATGCGGATAATGACTGATTTTTTTCAATATTATGACTATATTTCTACTGCGTTACTTACGCAGAAGTAAGGGCATTTTTGCACATTTTACCTCATTCTAGTAATTTAATTGAATTGTAAGTACAATTAATAAGGTGTAAATAAGTTCTTTTCGTCACTACACATACTTAAAAAAATCATGAAAATTTGCATCAATCTGGAGGCGTGCTGTTTTAAGGTGTGATGTTCACCATTGTTTTAAGATTTACCTCTGACAATTCAGTAACATGAGTAAACTGAGTTAATCACACCTTTTGATTCCATGAAAATGATTGTTTTTACTTCTTACTGGTAAGATAATTAATCAAAGAAACAAATTTAATTATTATATCAATTCTATTTTTGAAAAAGAAAATATGCAAAACAAATGTCCATGATGTTCGTTCAGCACGTCACTATTGTTGTGTATAAATGTTAAGTGGTATTTTAGTTTCGCCTATTTGGCAGTTTCAATTTTGTCGTGTTGGGCTTTTTGGGATTCTGTTTTTCTCTATTTCCGTTAATATTAAATGTCAGTTTTGATCTTTAAGCAACATGACTTCAGATTAATTGTAATTATATAAAAATGTGTTCAAATGTTTACAAACAACCTATGTAACTGCAAGTTTTTGTCCTTTGATATAAATGATATTTATGTTTTTTGTAATAAAAGGATTAAAAAAAATTAACACTTATTTTTATTTTAGGTTCTTCCATGAGCACAACAAAGATTGCATTCCACGCATACACAAAGTCCGGTGGAAGCTATACTAAAAACCAACTCCTCATTTTCCCATACGTTTTGATAAATATGGGTGAAGGATATGACAAATCAACTGGATTTTTTACAGCGCCTGTAACCGGTCTCTACCTGTTTAGTGCTCATATCTGTAATGCATCTTCACATTATATGATAATTTCTATTATTCACGAAGAAGTTGTAATCGCCAAAACTGATGCGTTCGAAGGCGATCAAACCACTTGCAGCTCAGTTAGTGCTCCGGTTTTGGTTAAGATGGGTGGGAAAGTGTCTATCATGTCTTCCTATGGTTCTTGCAAGCTGTACGCAGATTATGACTTCAGATGGCCATCATTTGCTGGAGTACTACTTCATGTGTAGGACAATTTTTTAATTGCTAATTTTGCTATGACTATTTGACATGTCTTTGAGCAGTGTATACACGAATGACACATTGTTTATGTTTGACATTTTAATCTTCACAAAAATATTGTAGTAAACGCTTTACATATCGATATATATTTCGCTTCATTGTGTTATAATCCTATTGCACTGAAATTTAAGATAACATTAAAATAAATTGTAAATTTGTTTGTTTGTTTGTTTGTTTTGGGTTTTACGTCACATCGACACAGTATAGGTCATATCGCGACGTTCCAGCTGTACTGTTGGAGGAAGACCTCAGGTGCCCTTCCGTGCATTATTCAGGCACGAACGGGCACCTGAGTAGAACCACCGACGTTCCGTAAGCTAGCTAGATAGCTTCCTCACATGAAGGAGTCCAAAGGCCCTGTCGGGATTCGAACCCACAGCGGTGAGGGGCAAGTGATTTGAAGTCAACGACCACGAACGCCCCCAACAATAGTATGTAGTGTGAAATATAAATGTAGAACATCGACGCAAGAACTTATTTCTTTGTTTTAGGCCTTAAAGTCGTAGTTAAACTAACACTTGAAGCAATTGATATTGATGAATAACTTGTATTCAACTGGCAGTTTTATTTATTTATTGTAATTCTTTTTTCTTCAATGGCATTAAGATAACACTTCGTCAGAAATGCTCCCTACATGCAGCCTTTTTTCCTTTGTTTTTTTATGAGACGAAAATGATAAATTTGTAAACCAAATAAACAAACAGGAAGAAAGTATCTTTAACCACAAGCTTGTTCCGTTTATAAAACGTGAACACTGAAGACACAAAATAAACAGAGGTACTCGTACAAACTATATTTTCCTTTTTAAAAATTTATAGTGCAATATCTGGGTAACTTTACATAGGATATATATTGCATTTATGTCACTCTTTCAGATGTGATTCCACACAGTTTTAATAGATTGATGTTTCAGAAATAAAATATGACTATGAAGACCAAGAACATTTACACTTATACAATCTGATGTAACCCTTAGAGAAATTCAAGTTTAGTTAAAGGGACTCCACTGAAGTTTAAAAGCCTAAAACAATAACATTTGAATTTTTTACATAAATGAGCTGATGCACTTTTAACAGAAATATATGCAAAGATAGTTTAGAAATAAACTTTTAAATATTTTGAAATTCGTATATTAATGCTTTTCTTAGCCAGATTTGAGTGAAAAGCGTTTAAACGCTTTTCATTTTGGGTCATTCTTTTACGATTTGAATAGTTTTTCTGGAAAAACGAAGTGCGCGAATGATCTGAAAAGTTGCACAAAGATTACTTGTCTAAACATACATCAAATGGAACATTAATCTGGAAAAACATATGTTCAGTCCTACCATGTCAAACAACCTTAGTGAAGTCCCTTTAAGTTTTCTCTTAAATTGGCTACATATACTAGGGTTTATACGACATTTTACAAATATCTGTAATTTAATCATAGCGCGATAAGACTTGCATGATTTCGTGGATTCTGAAACGCCTGAATAGCTCTATGTTAAGGTGTTAACAAGAGCCTTCAGCTTAACATAGTTTCAAATTATCAACAATTTCATAACGGCAATCTTGACCACTGTTGTAAAACTGGGTGAAACACATTGACAAAAAAGAGCTTGGTATATAAAAGTCCACACAAATCTATGACATTTGGGTAAAGCCGATTGTACAAATTCCTTAGCCGAAGGACGGTGGGGTATTACAGGTTGGTACTACCGAGAAGTTAGTTATATTTAAAAAGCTCAAGAAATATTATTAGAAATGACAACCAATGCTTGGCGTTAGGCATGTTTGTCCGCTTTATGATAATGCTTCACAACATACATCTGAGTTTGTGAAATATTTGAAGTCGGAAAAGATGACGTTCTTGTCACACCCACCATAGGTTTAAGTTCTACCCACATGCGACTTTTATTTTTTCCAAAAGGTTCTTATCTGGTCGTCGATACAAGTTTAGATGAGCCGTTGGCTCAGCCATCAGTCAGAGCCTTGGAGGTATATCTAAACAAAATGGATTTATGTATTTCAAAGATCCGGGAACAAAGTGATGGCTCGGCAGCATTATAACAACAAAATTACATGAAAATTACAGACCCGGTTTGATTGAGTCTGTACATGAGGGATAATGAAAAAGTGCAACATCACTCATGCCACCTAACACCCTCTTGAGCGGTTCTTAATTATCAACACTTAATATTGTCGGCATCACAGATCCCGAAGGACCAGAAAAATAACAAAACTAAAGTGATGTACAGGGCAACATTTTACAGCTGCCACACAGCACTTGACACTTGCTTTTGTGAAGTATAAAAATCTGGTAACAAAGAGATCCCTCGGAAGCATTAATCACAGCAATATCATGAAAATTGCAGTCTCGGTTTGACTGAGTCTTTACCATGGAGAATATTTTAAAGGGATGTAATGTTCATTTCACTATTTTAGTCGAATGCTTAAAGATATCTTACAATACATATTACACATCACACCACCCTCGTTAACACATGATTTAACTTTGAACTTTTGCAAAACTTATCTATTGATTGATTCGTTATTATTGTTTATATATTTATATGCATATTTATATGTAATTCTAGAATGTATTTCAATTAAAATTGAATGCATACAATTCAATGTAACATAAAAACACACCAGTTACAAACTTAAAGGAAGCACATTTAAAT